CCTCCTACACCTCCTCCTCCTCCTCCTCCTCCTCTTCCTCCTCCTCCTCCTCCTCCTCCTCCTCCTCCTCCTCCTCCTCCTCCTCCTCCCCCGGAGTCGCCGCCTGAGATCTGGGGAGATATGGGGGAGATGTGGGGGAGATATGGGGAGATATGGGGAGATAGGGGGGGAGGAGCAGCCGCGCGGCGTCGCCGCCTGTGAGAGCGCGAGAGACGGCCCTTGATCGCCCTTACCCCATCGGAGGGGAGCAGTGGTGTCGGCCGCGGTGGTGCGGTGTGTGGCCTCGAGCAATCTTGGCCAATCTCGGCCAATCTCGGCCAATCTCGGCCAATCTCGAGCCGCCCTCGCCTGAGCCGCACACGTCACACTGCACACCCCCCTCCTCCTCCTCCTCCTCCTCGTCCCTCGACATGCAGCAGCCCGCCTACAACGAAGTTGAGGCGGCGACGCCGTGGCTGGCCGAGGGCGGCCGCCGCCACCAGCAGGACGGCGCGGGCCACGACGAGGTGTGGGTGCACTGACCGGTTCCAGTGTCCGGTACATGGGGCCTGGCTTGCGACTGAGGACGGACGGAGGACAGGCCTGCACTGTGTGACATGATTGCATGCACTCTTGCTGGGCGGGGGGGGTTTACAGGGCTTGTGCGCGCGGTTGTGGCCTCTCGGAGGGGAGCGCGGTCTCTGTAGCAGAGCCCGCCGTCGCTCTCCTCTAGTGATTGATTGTATCTTGATGTGTGTTGTTACCAGTCTTTTATTGAGCGGCCTGGGTCAAGCCGTAAAACTGACCCTAGGAGTAGCACTTCTCTCTCTCGCGTCGCCCCCCCCGTGTGCGCCTTGATCTCCTCGAGTTCCGGGCTCACACTGGGGGGGGCGATTTTGCGTTTGGACTCTTAGCACGTAGGCGATGCCAGCCGAGCGTGCGTCGCAGTCGCCAAGTCGCGCACAGGCGCGAGTGCGAGGCGCTGGCTGCGATGCTCTCTGCTAGCTCTCTGTCTGAGAGAGACTCTCATCTCACGCCGCCCGCGGTCCCAGCTTGCGTGTCTCGCCAGACCGGCGTGCAGCGAGGCGCGGGAGAGTTGGGGAATGGGGAGATCCCTGGAGCGACCTGCTTGTGCCGTTGCGCGCGCGCACTCCGCACACACGTGTCGGTGAGGGGTGGTTGTAGTTGTATTTTTATACGGGGTGTGGACCGTGAGTTGACCAGGGGTTGTGCGCCGGGCCCTCCTGCTCGGCTCCAGCCAGTAGACAAGTCTTGTCACTAACAGAGTAGAAGGATCTGACCTCGGGGCCGATGTGACCAAGCGCTGGTAGCGTGGTTTTACCTCACACCCATGGTCTCACAGTGTGCCGGCAGTCGCCGAGCAGTGTCGCTCACACAAGCCGCAGCACAAGTGACTGAGGGCCAGTGAGGGCGAGCCCATCGCTGTGAGCCTGTGACAGCTGTGGCAGCCGCACAGTAGGCTGTGTCAACTGTGCAGAGCGTGTGAGCAGCCGAGGAGCTGCTCTCCAGGCTTCTGACGCAAAGAGCTGCATGCCATCGAAGGCGCTGTCGAGGTTCGCCGAGCGCGGCGCAGGTTGGAGGACACCGTCACCGACGAGCGCGTTGGACTTTTCACTCCTCTGGCGACCCGTGATGCGTGAAAGAGGAGGGAACGGGATAGGGCGGGTGCGACTGCGAACACAAGACTTCCCCAAGAGAGTGCACACATCACACAGTCCCGGCTCACGCACACGGTACAAAGATACCACACGGCACACGCGACAACACACACACAGCATCATCTGCTCTCGGTCCTGGTGCGCGTAAGGACCCCCTCGCTCTCCGACCGCTGGTGGCGAGAGACGCTCCGTGGCGGCGCGCCGGCTTCCTCGCCGTGCCTGCGTGCGGCGTCGCCGCCCTGCAAGTAGGCCGTGAGGCCTGAGTTCACGGCCAAAGGCTGTGAAGAGACGCGGTCCGGACGCGCCGCCGCGGCGCGCTCGGTGCGCCTTTGCGGCGGTCTCGTACGCAGTGAAGGTGATGATGCACTGCGGGATGGTGCGCACAATGTTGAGGCGGTAGCCGTGCCACAGCCCTGCGACGCCGTCGGACTGGACCTAGGGAGGGTCCGAGAAGGCTCGCGGGAGGCCCCTCGCTGCCCCGGCGCGGCCACGCCGCCGGCGCCGTCTGGCGGATCGCGTCCAGCGTGCCGGCGTAGAGCTTGCCGCCCTTGTCGAACTGCAGGCGCGCGCGCACAACCTCGTGCGGGTACGTGAGCGTGGAGGCGACCTGTTCACACCGGGTCGCGGTTGCGGTGGACGTCTCCTGTTGGGCCGACGTAGCGCCAATGCCCGTGCTTGAGGGCGGCCTGGGAGGGCGCGCGTACACGGCGCCAGGCACCTCTGACTCCGTGAGTATTGACCTCTACAGCAGACCGGCGGAGACCGATCAGAGAGCGGCCCGCGGGGCGCGATTTGACTGGTGGCTACAGCAGCACCAAGGTGGTCATGGGTGCCAATTCCAGTGTCAAGAGGTAGGCTTCCCGCACCAGTGCAGAGTGCGGCTGTGCGTAGTGACGAGGGCTCCAACAGCAGACGGTCAGAAGACGAGACTACTGCAGCCGAGCCCTCCGTCGCCTCCCCCGGGTCTTTGCGTGCCGATGCTGGGCGGTTCCGGGCTGTACAGGGGAGGGGGATACTGGCCCACCATGGGGGAAATGGTGGCAACTGTCAGATTTCCATTTCAAGGCTCGAGGCCGAGCCGAAATTTCGAGGCCAGTGTCCAGGCTCCGGGCCGCCTCGAGGGGCAGCCGGTGCGGTGGAGTGGACGCTTCACCGCAGGACATATCGGGGATTTTTGTCGGGTGACGGCGGTCAGCCATGCACTGAGGAAGCTGGAGGAGAGCCGCTCGACGGCACCCGCCGCTCTGACGTGCACGCCCATCGCCTGCGCGGGGTCATCCCCTGAGCAGCCGTGGGCGGATCGAGCGCCATGGGGCCCACTGCAGGCGTCCTCCGCGGTCTGCATCTGGAGCAGGCCGCCGCGTGGGGGCCGCGGCAGCGCCAGCGGGCCGCAGGAGTGGGCCGGGCCAGCGGGGAGGAGCCCGACGAGCCCGAGCAGTAAGCCGACACCCACCATTTTTGCGAAGGTTTTGGGAATTCTCACACCGACGATCTTCACACCCCTGGTTGAGGTGTGAGCCTTGGCCTTCCCCTAAACGCACAACCCCGGGCTGGGCCTTCACAGACCTTGCTATTTAGAAGAAAATACCTCGCGCGGCGTATTACAGCGCGAGAGGAGAGAGAGGGGGCGAGGGCGCAGACTAGGGCGCAGACAGGCAGGGAATGCCTCTGTGCTCTGAACGCTGAAGTGGTAATGCAGGTAATGCATCTCTCTGCTCGGCTGCTCTTGCTAGTACTGAGTGTATTGTGAGTTTGGGTCTGTGTGTGTGTCGGCTCTCCAGCATGCCGTCATCTCCTGTCTTGCGTGTCCGCGTGTGAGTCCTCCCACACGCTGTGGTGTCCAGAGCAGTCCGAGCCTGGCTGTTCTTTTCACCTTCCAATCTCAATCCAATCAAGTAGAGTACTTTTGCTTGTGTGCTCACACCAGTCACCAGACCACTACTGCACTACAGTCTACAACAGCCTCGCAATTTTGCGGTCGCGTCGGTACCGTTGTTCGTAGAGCTTCAGGTAAAACTCTGGGCCAACACAAACCAAGCGGTATGTAAGTACAGAGTGGCCCGCGACGCGCCCGCGCGCCTCTCTCCAGGGATCTAGGGAGGGGGGATTCGCATGTCGTGAGGCCGCGAGGCTTTGGGCGGCCACAAAAAAGAAAAGCGAGCTAGATGCATCTCGAAATGTTCTCTCTGAAACTCTCTCCGCAAGAGCGGTGTAGGCGCGTCCACGCGGCGCAGCGGCTCTCCCGCGACCACAGCCCCTCCCGCAGCCGCAGCCGTACCCGTAGCCGCAGCCCCCCATCAGCCATCTCTTGCCGCTCTTCTATCGGGTTGTGATGAGGGGTGTGTGAGGGGACGGATTGAAGATCCCTCACAACAAGTAGATCGTGCAGGGCGCGGGGACACATGTCCCTAAATCCCATCTCGTCAGAGTTTGACCGATTTATTTATTTCTTTGAGCACTTGAGCACTGGATAGGGTCGGTTCCGCATGGTACGGGACCCCTCGATCGTCTCGCCCACCCTCACTGGTGTGTTCATTGGCGATTGGGGGGGGTCATAACAAACACGGTACAGGATCGAGGTGCACGCTGCCGAAGCAGTGTCGTCCCCCCTCTCCCCGACGGCGATGGCGGTGTGACCGATCGAGCTACAAGAGGTTTATTTATTTAGGACCAAAGGTTTCGTCGCCGCGATCCAACGTCGCGTTGGCACTGCCGAGAGAGGGTCGGATGATTTGGCGCCGCACGTCAATGGTGCCCACCTTCACCTGATGCATCGCAGGCGGGGCGGCATGCCGCGGCTCAACTTGAGAGGAGTTCATCTTGACGGCGGTCGCCGACGCTGCTCGAACGGCAGTTGTCGACCGCCGGCAGTTGACCCGGCAAGATGAAGTCCACTGCGCTCGCAAAAAATACCATCGGAACCGTCTTGCCAAGGCGCACATAGTCCTCAGTCTGGCAAAGGCCAGTTTCTTCATCCCGGGCCGCCATGAAATAAATGGCGACTGGCAGAGGCTTGTCAGAGCAACTGGACGAACAAAAATCGCTTCTCATCGCAAACCCCGTCAGCAGTCCTCCTCCAGGAATGTTCGTAAGAGCATACACTGAAAAAGAAACCCTTCGGGTCGCTCCTCATCGCAAACCCTGTCAGCAGAGTCCTCCTAAGGGAATGTACGTAAGAGCTAAATACACTGAAAAAGAAAGGCGAGCATGCAATCACGCCTCTTCGCCTTCTGGCTCTGTGTGTTGTTGGTCGCTGCTCACAGCCATCATCAACAGCTCAAACTGTAGACATCATGGTCGTCGGTGGCTGTGCCGAGGTTGGAAGCGAGCTACGCGAGTCGATGTCGCGCATCCACACGCGCTGCAACGCGCACCGCGAACAACTCGAGAATGCCATGAGCGCCGGTGCTTCGCGCTTCGAGATGAGCTTCACTCCTGCTGTCAAGCTGGGCGCGGTCGTCGCCAGCATCGATAGGCGCCACCACGACGTGCTGCAGATCAGCACCGACACCTTCATCGACCTTGAGCACGCCAGCATCGATAGGCGCCACCACGACGTGCTGCAGATCAGCACCGACACCTTCATCGACCTTGAGCACGCCAGCATCGATAGGCGCCACCACGACGTGCTGCAGATCAGCACCGACACCTTCATCGATCTTGAGCACGCCCTCACCGTCGGTCACACCAAGCCGTCCGACAACCATCTCCTGAACAACTTTGGCATCGGTCTGTACGTCTTCCAGGCCCGAAGAGCGAAACCGCCGAACGATTGCCCATTTCACGCCGCCTCTATGCTCTTGCCACGTGATGCCCTGAGCCTGATCTGGAGGTTTCCGTGTTTGTTTGTTTGATCCCCTGAGCCTGACGCCTCCTCCCCCGTCTCAGGCGGGCCTCGGCGAGAAGACGCAGGCCTTCAATCCTTCAACCACCCAGCCGCAAAACAGCTCTCTTCACGCCTCCTCCTGTGAGCAGGCCATCATCTACACGGTCAAGAAGCGCGGCGGCGAGGTGGCCGCGCAGGTCGCCCGCACCGGCTCGCTGCAAGACGAGTTCTGGTCGGCGCTCTCCAGCGACGGCCGCAGCAGCTCGGGGAGCGGCGCACGCTTCATCGCGCGCACGATCGCCGACGTCAAGGTCGAACTGAAGGACGGCGCCGCCAGCGACGTCCGCTTTGACTGGGGCAGGCCGGCCAACCGCAACGCGCGCGGCGCGATGCTCGAGACGTACTCGCCTTGGCGCGACGAGAGCAACAACCTCCGCGAGGACGGCATGCTCGCGCCGGTCAAGATGCTGCTCCGCCGCCTGGGCGACGAGGACGGTGCGTGGACAGCCGTGGCCTCTCTGCTCGCCCCCGCAGCATGCACGGCCTTGCACGCCCGCTGCTGCCGCCGCTGCTGCTAGGCCAGTGGACCCTCTTCGTCTACCACACCGCCGACTTCCAGGGCTCGTGCCCCGCCCTGCCCTACGAGCTCGGCGAGCGACCCTCCTCCTCCTCCGCCTCGCCCTCGCGCGGCCTCTTCGTGCGCGACAAGCACACCAACGAGCTGCTCGACGTCGTCGGCGAGCTGATGCAGATGCCTTGCACCCGGGGCTGCACAGCCCCTCTCCCTCTACACACCCTCTCCGCCTGCGCCCACAGGCGGGCTGCAGCACTCCTACATTGCCGCCGCCCCGCTGCGCGACGACGACGAGGAGGAGGAGGTCGAGGCGCGCATCGAGACGGCCTCCGACACGGCGGCACCATCTCCCCCGGGCACCCCCCCTGCCGGCGGCGGGGGCGACACCCTGCCCGCCTGGGCGCGCGCGGCGCCTCTCCCGGAGGTTCGTTCGCACCGCCCTCCCATCACAGCGCGAGCGCTATATGCAGGAGGCATGTCGGATCTCGCCTTCCCCAGGTGCTCGTCCAAGGGGCGAACGTAGACTGGGGAGGGCACCAGTGGGCCGCGCTGCTGCAGGAGCCCGACGCCGCGCCGGGCGACTTCGAGCCCGTCTACCTCCCCTCGGACGCGGGCTTTCCCGAGCCGGTCGCTTTTGCCCGCGTCTGCCCGCTGCCACGCAGCAGCATCGCCGGCGCCGGCGTCGACCCGGAAAAGCGCGCCGCGCCTGAGTAGTGGGGAACGCTGGCCGCGATGCGAGGCGGCGAGGCGTAAGGCCTTAGTGACCCGTGTCGACCCACTAGGTACCGTCACAACCAGCTGCACCTGCCCCTGCACAAGGCCGGCCTCGACGGGGCGTACTTCGTGCTCCACGGCACCAAGGTCATCAACGACCGGCCCGGCGCCGCCTTTGACGGCCAGGTCTTCGGTCAGAACTCAAAGGCGTTCAGCAACCTGATCGCGGGCTGCCAGTCCAAGGGCAACTGGCAGACCAAGATCGAGTACGGCAATTTCGCCGAGCACCTGCGCGCCGGCGACGACACGATCCAGCTGCCCGAGGCGATGAGCTTCAGCAAGTGGGCGAAGTGGAGCAAGATCCACGAGCTCTGGCCAAACCTCGGGCTAGGCGAGCGCACCGTCCCTCCTCCCAGCGCCGGACTCGCCCTCACGCCGCGTCTTCACGCCCCCGGCGACCGCGCGTGAGCGTGCGCAGGCCACCTCACCCTCTTCCTCCTCAACCCGCGCTGCTTCGCCCTCGACGGCTCAAAGACGCGACTCTCCCTGCCCGCCGAGGGGATGCCGCCGACCGTCTCGCTTGCGCACCTCGTCTCGGCGAGATGCATGCCCCCGACGGCGCACCCCGAGATGCCCCCCCCCCCCCCCTCATCCCACCCCTGCACCCGCGCACACCCTCAGGCGCTGCGGGTGCACGTGGTCTGCTGGTGCATCGCAAACACCGCCCCGCCGGAGCCGCCAGCGCCCAAGCTCTCCGCGGCGTCCAAGGCGCGCGCGATTGCGCAGCTCGCTCCGCACAACATCGACACTGCCGCCGCGTCGGCAAGCCAGGAGGCGACGCCCGGGGAGCCCGCCGCCCTCGCGACACAGCGGGCTTCCGGCGTTCGGGTGCAGCCGCCGAGCGACGAGGCAACGGGCGCTTCACGCGCTCCCATGCGAGAACAGGCGCGGCGCGTGGTGCAGCCCTCGGCACGGTTCGCCCCCGACACGTACCCGCACGCCGTCGAGGCCTTCCCGACCCCGACGCCGCCCAAGGCCAAGCGGCGCAAGCTGGGCGCGGTGGGCTATCTCCCGAGGAGACGAGTATTACCCCCGGCGTCACAATCCCGATCCCCCGCTGGCGCGTCGATCCACAGGCCGAGACCTTCAAGAAGGGCGCGCACAAGGTGGAGGAGGCGCGCGCGGCGGGCAACACCGCCGCCGAGCTCGCGGCGTGGCGCACCCTCGGCGAGCAGCTGAAGAAGGCCTTCGGCAGCCGCGGATAGCTTTTAGCCGTCGAGGGGGCACACGCGGCACTAGGCCGTCGCGTCCTGCTCCGCCTGGCAGGGACAAGACATTTACATCATACATGCACATGCACATGCACCGAATGGGTTCACGGGCTCGACAGCCTCGAGAGACAGCGCGCACGTCACCACAGATACCTGCGGCGCGCACGAGAGTCGCTCCAGAGAGTGAGAGTGAGAGACACAGTTGGTGCTCGCTGATGCATACCTCACGCATCTCACATGCATCGATGTACACCTCTCCTCTCTCTCGCGGACGGTGTTCGCTTTTACGATTTTTATTAGTCTCGTGTGCCGCGACATTGCGACTTTACGACAGTACTCTCACTCACTTATGGATCTATCACCGCCGCACCACTCGCCGCCTCGCCGCCCCCGCCCTCCGCGGCCCTCTCCTTCGCGCGCCTCCTCTTCCGCTGTTTCGACGTCTCCTTGCCCCTCCTCTTCCTCTTGCTGCCCCCCGCCTCCTCTCCCTCTCCACCCGCCCCGCCCGCCCGCCCCACACCCTCCGCCAGAGCAGCCTCAGCAGCCTCGCTCTCGTGCTGCGGCCGAGGCTGCCCCCTGGCGCGCCGCGCCGAGAGGCGGCACTGGAAGCGGCGGCTGAAGCCGCGCGCCGCCCACAGGTCGTCGAAAGCGGACCGATGGCTCGGCAGCGGTCGCTCGTGCGTCTTGTAGTGCGGCGGCCCAAACGCGGGCTGCCAGAGCGCCACGAGGGCGGGCTCGGAGACGGCGCGCCTCGCGACGCTCGCGCAGTATGCCTCGTCGTCCGAGGTGAGGGTGAGGGTACCTGCGCGAGGAGGCGGGAGGAGGCGAGGAGACGGATCGGGGGAGGTCCTCTGGGCCTCTTCGTCGAGGGCGGAGCGGCGAGCGGCATGCCTCCCGGCTGGAGGATGGCGTGAGCCGCCTCGAGGAAGGCGCGGTTCACGAGGTGCCGCTCGCTGCCCTCGGACTGCGGCGGCTGCGGGAAGTTGACATGCACCTCCGCCACGGAGCGAAGGGGCAGCCCGCCGCTCAGGATCCCGTGCGCGTCCCCGGCGAGCACCGCGAGGTTGCGCAGCCCGCGCATCGCCCCCTTGGCGCGGATGAGGCACGCGCGGTCGTGACGCAGCTCGAGCGCCGCCCAGTTGGCGGTCGCAGCGTCGGCCTCCGCCCGCAGCGCCACCCAGTCGCCGGTGCCGGCGCCCACCTCAACCTTGACAGCCCGCGACGCGTCCGGGAAGAGGGCGCTCCAAGACACCTTCGAGCACGAGGCGCCCGGGGTGGAGCCCAGATGCAGCCGAGCTGTGCAGCCGAGGCTCCCACACCCTACCTTCGCAGCCGCAGCTGCCACCGGAGGGAAGCGCGCCACCGCGGCGGTCGAGAAAGCCGCCGCCGCCGCCTCGCGCCCCTCGCTCTCCAAGAAGGCGCGCACGGCGGCGAGGCTGCCCTCGAGCATCGAAACCTCCTGCGCCGACCCTTCCCCGCCACCGCCGCTGCCACCGCCACCGCCGCTGCCGCCACCGCCGCTGCCACCGCCGCTGCTGCCACCTCCGCCTCCGCCGCCGCCACCTCCGCCGCCGCCGCCGCCGCCTCCGCCGCCGCCGCCACCGCCGCTGCTCTTGCCGCTGCCGCCGCCGCCCAAAGCCTTGAGCGCCTTGGCGCAGCGCTTGAACTTGCCGGTGAGCGCGAGCGCGATGCAGACGTCCGCCGCCGCCGCGTGGCTCAGCGATGCCAGACCTCCGGAGGCGTGGGCCTCGAGCGCCCGCCGCAGCCTCTTGGAATCGAACGCCGCCGCCGCCGCCCTCACCGCCGCGTCCCTGGTCGCGCGGTCGGGCTCCAGGCCGAGCCGCGCCGCCGTCTCGAGCAGCCGGTCGACGCCCGCGCCGTCGCCGACGTAGAGGCAGCCGCGCAGCATCGTGTTTACCGTCCGCAGGTTCGGCTGTGCGGCAGGGTCGGATAGCATCGCCTCGAAGTGCGACCACGCTGCGGAACAGTCCAGGGACGTATCAGATACGCATGTCAGCGGGCAGCGGAGGACAGCTTCTCTCGGAAGGTCTTCTCGGAAGGTTCACCGGATGGCATATCGAGGGCGTTGACTCGGCCCTTGATGACGGTGGTGTAGACCACCGCGCTGACGGGCACGCCGCTGCCCTGCATCTCGGAGAGGATCTGCCTGCATCGTTCGCCCGCGCTGTAGTCCGCGAGCCGCACGTACGCGTTGAGGAGGATCCCGTAGGTGTACTCGTTTGGCTTGAGCGGCGGCCGTAGTGCGCACAGCGCATCAAACGCCTTCTGGACCCGCTCGACCTCGCCGAAGCGTGCGTGCCGGGAGAGGAGCGAGTTGAAGAGCTTCACATTCCGTCTCTGTAGGGCCGCGGCGAGGTCGGCGTCGAAGCGGTTGGGCATATGTGTGTAGCAACGTCGTGCTCGCGCTCACGCACGAGCCGCTGCTAACTTGACCATAGGACGTATTTTCTTCACTCGTCCACATCTCTGTGCGAGAGAGGGTACACAGGAGACACAGACAGGTCTGGATATTCGCACTAAGTGCTCAATGGATGACGAGAGGCGCGAGCTCCAGAGGCCAGTCTTGTGGACTAGGCCACTCGCGCCCCTCCCGGCTATGCCGGTAGGAGCCGGGGCGGCGCTCGTATAGCAAGGCCCGTGGGGCACTCGCCACGAGGCTGCTCCCATATTGGCTCGGTGGGTCCACGTATGCTAGGCGGAGGCTGATACGTGGTTAGAGTGCCGCAGAGGTAGGGCTGGGAAGGCTCCTAGCGGCTCCCGATATCGTCGCGCAGTCCCTCGCGAATGCGTGCGCGCCTGTGTGTGCGGCGATCTGCTCCTGCTCAAGCCGGGGGGCGCTCGCTGCTCCCCGGACCCCCCGCGCCTGCGGCGGGCCCTTGTGCCGCTGCGCGGGGCCTTTTTGCGCGTCGGGGAGGAGGCGACCATCTAGGAGCGCCGCGGGTGTTTCTTTCTCGCTGGATGGCAGCGGCGCTGGATGGCGGCTAGCGGCGTCGAGCTTGGCGCTCTGCCCTCCGCCTACGAGGAGCTGGGCGAGAACTCGGCGCGCACTCCCTTCGACGACAACGCCGACCCCGCCGTCATAGCGCTCGAGCAGACGGTGGCCGACCTGCTGAACCGGCGCCGGCCGTGCCACCACTCGCCGGTGATCGTGGCGGTGCAGCTGCTGCTGCTCGGGTGCGCGGTGCTGCTCCTCGCGCTGCCGTTCGCACTCCTCGTCTGCCTCGTCCGCCTCCTCCCCTGGCTGCCGCTCCCGTCCTCGCTGCCGCACTCGGTGCAGACCGTGCTTCGAGGGTCGCGGTGGGAGGCGGCGGAGCGGGCGAGGCGGCGGTCGCGGCCGGTGGTGGCGCGGTGGGCTGCCGCAGCGACGCGGCGGCGGCCCGAGGGCCTCGAGCCGGACGACGGCGAAACGTCCGGGACGCCTCCGCTGCTTCCCGAGACTGAGACGGCCGGCTTGGACTGGGGGGAGCTGCACTGCGGCCTGTGGTGGGCGAGCGGCGGGTGGGACCCGGCGCAGCCGACGGTGGTGTACGTGCACGGCTGGGAGCCCGGCACGACCGCGCGCGGCTTCCGCGAGACCTTCAACTGGAGGCGGAACGTCAAGCAGCCCTCGCTCGGCGTCAAGGGCGAGAGGGTGCCCGACATCGACGCGGCGGAGCTGTGGGCGGCGCGCGGCTGGAACGTGGCGCTCTTCTACTGGAACCAGTTCGCGGACGACACGCTGCACGAGGCGGAGCGCAAGATCCACAGCGCAGAGGGCCAGCACGCGCTGCGCTGGCAGGCAACCTGACGCCGCACCTCGGCCGCGCCTCGGCCACATCTCGGCCGCGCCTCGGCCGCACCTCGGCCGCATCTTGGCCATACCTCGGTCGTCACCTCGTCCACAACCCGGCCATCTCGGCCTTCACCCCAGCCACACCCCGTCTCTAGGTGCGGCAGGCGGACGGCAAGACCGTGTCGCGGGACGCGGCCGACGGGACACCGTGCGCGATAGAGCCGAGAGGAGGGGAGATACGGCGGCGATGGAGTGACCAGAGGAGGTATGGCAGAGACCTGGGAAGCGAGATACACGGCAGAGGTCTGGGGACCAGAGGAGGCTGGGGCCGTGACGAGCCGCTGCTCCCCTGCTGCTGTGGGCAGGTGCGTGGCGGACCAGCTCGCCTCGGCGCTGCTGCCGCTGTGGCGAGCCGCGTACGGCGGAGGACCCTCCTCGTCCTCCTCGCCGGTGCGAGGCGGCGCAGGCGGTAGCGACGGCTCCGGGGGCGGCGGAGAGGCGGCGGCGGTGTCAGAGCTGGGTGCCGGCGCCGGAGGGGCGGCGCAGCGACAGGCCGCGGGCAGCGATCCGGATGGGTGGAGGGGCGGCGGCGGCGGCGGTATTGGCGGCGCAGGCGGCGCAGACGGCGCAGGCGGCGGGAGCTGCGGCGGCGGCGAGGGCGGAAGCGAGGGCGGCTGCGAGGGCGCTCCGAGGCGAGCGGTGCGGCAGTTGCGGCTGGTGGGCCACTCCTTGGGCGCGCAGCTCGTGCTCGAGGTCCAGCTGTGCACAGCGTCTCTTCACACCTCTGCCAGTGAACAGGCGCGCAGCTCGTGCTCGAGGCGGTGGGTCGGCTGGTCGAGCGGCAGCCGCCAAAGGGGCGGCGCCACCTCCACCTGGCCGAGGTGAGCATGCAGGAGGCGCCGCTGCGGATCGCTCTGCTCGACCCATTCTTCAGCCCCGGCGCCAAGCAGTACTTGCCTCGCCAGACCTCGCCCGCGGCCAGGGGCGTCGCAAACCTCTCCGCCGCCTTGCGTTCGCTGCCGCACTTGCCCGTCGAGCTGTACCGCGCCTCCATCCTGGGCGACCCTCCGCTCTGCGCCGCGCTGCTGCCGCACCTCGGCGACCCCACGCCGCAGCTGCACGAGCTCGCGGCCTTCGGCTACGTCGTCCCGCCGGGCGTCCACCCGCTCTCGCCCCGCGCGCGCCACATCGCCGCCGTCGGCCTCTACTTCCTGTCGATCGCGCACGAGGAGGACGCGCTCACGCCGTGGGAGGGGAGGATGCACCCGCGCGCGCACGACGGGCTCATCTGCGAGCGGATGGTCGCGCAGACCATCCGCTCGCAGTCGGCGCAGCGGGCGGCGCCGCAGCCGCTGCAGCCCGCCACGCCCGCTTCGCTGCTCGCCTTCCTCAGCCGCGCCGACCGGGACGGAAACCTCTCCGACGACCGCGGCTCGGTCGACTCGAAGACGGAGCTGCTCGAGAGGAAGGACTCGGTGCAGGAGTTTGACGACGCGCCGCACGACGCCGTCAAGCTCGACCTCGCCGGCTGCTTCGCCGACCCGTCGGTGCTCGATCCATCGCCGCCCGAGCATCGCGGACCGGGCGCCGTCGCCGGCGCGAGCGTGTCCGGCCTGGTCGTCGACGTGGTGTGAGAGCGGTGCACCTAGTCCTTAGAAGCTACACCTATAGAACATTTGATTGTCCAGTTCTCCTTAGGAGAGAGGAGTGTTGACTGTTGTGTGCGGAGTTTTTCTGACTACCAGGACGCTTTACAACTGAAAAAAATAGATATTCTTATCTTTTTGCCCCCCTCCGAGACTGGAGACACCCACACCCCAGGTATCAGACCAGGGGGACTGCCCCCCGCCCCCGCTTGCCCTGCCTGCGCAGGATAGCGTGCCCCAATTGGCGACACATAGCGGGGGACACTGCGCAAGGAGGGGGTGCGTCGCCTTTCTTTGTCCTCTCGAGGGAAATGTTCTCTCGGCGCCCATGGCCTTTTTGAGGTTTCGTACTAATGACGTCCTTCTTGGCACTTCGAGCGTGACGGTGTGTGCACGTATCAGTAGTGTTTAATTTCCCCCGGTATGCTATATAGGTCGCCCGCCGGCATCCCCTCTCACTACTTGAAGCGATCTCTTACTGGCTCCCTATCCGGAATCGGAAGGTCGCCAGTTCGAAACCTGCTTCGACCCTTATACTATTTTTTCTCACCTGGGCGGGCCCAATTTTGCTCCAGGTGCCTCTGGGCAGCAAAGGTTTGACGCGTCGCTCTCGGTGCAGGAGGGCACTGCAGTAGAGGTGCAATGGCCGTCCGGCGCGCGCGCGATGGGCTACAGCTTCATTGGCAGCTACCAGAGCGCGTCTGGAGCGCTGCCGTTGTGTGACCCACGTCCAAGCGGCGCTTCCGGCCTGTTCCGCGCCTCTTTTTACGCTTTTCATTCGAGAGGGGGGGGCGAGGTCTCATCAACTTCGAAACCGCCTTTGAAAGGGGGGAAATTACTCGATAGCGGTCACGCCGTAGCTCGCGCATAGGAGCAGGAGGCTAGGCAGAGGCCGCATCGCGTTCGCTGAGCTGTAACAAGTTTGATCCAAAACAAGAACACAAGTTTGGCTCTACCAATATAGCGCGCGGATAAAGCGCGCGCGCCGCGGTGGCGGCGAGATATAATATTATCTCAGAGGAATATAGTGTGAATGCCCGGGAACAGCCCCTCCTGGCCCGAGTGCGGGGCGCGAGGGACAAATAAATTCAAAGGGCATGAAAGTCGTCGAGCTGCTTGATCAGGCCAGTAAAGATGGCCCGCGAGGCAGCCTTCGTGAGTAGGTCGGCGAGCATCACGACGCCGGGGAGGTGTTCGACAGAGATAACGCCACGGCTGACGAGATCGCGAAGAAACTCGGCGGCGCGCAAGATGTGCTTGGTCTTCTTGAAGGCAACGGGATCGAAGGCCATGCCGACGGCGGACTTGCTGTCGCAGTTGATGACGCTGGCGCCGTCGATGGAAAATCCAAGGTCGATCAGTAGCTCACGAATGAAAATCACCTCCTTGGCGGCTAGCATGGCGCCGAAGAACTCTGCCTCGGCACTAGATAGCGTGACGGATCGCTGCATTTTGGAGAACCAGTGGAAGAGACATCCGTAGAAGAAGAACATGCCACCGGAGCAAGAGAACTTCGTTGCCCAGTTTGAATCGACGTAGCTCTCAAGGTTGCGGTTGGAATTCGGCTGCATGACGAGGGCGCGGTCAGCTGTGTCGCGCACGTAGATAAGCACCCGGATGGCGGCTTTAAAATGCGACGGGCCAGGGTTCGTCATAAACCGAGCAAGCTGAGACGCGGAATAAGCAATGTCGACGCGCGTCATATTGGCAAGCCACAGTAGTCCGCCGACGATGGCCATGTAGGCGGTGCGGAATTCGGACATCTCGTCGTATTCAACAGATCCAACGGCGGGCTGGTCGTCGGCGGACAGTTCGAGCCCCTCTTCCATAGGCGAGTCGAAGCGGCGTGAGCGGGACCGATCGAAATAGGCGCTGAACTTGGTAACGAGGTCGGCGGCGTAGAGGCCCTGGGACAAGTTCAGGGTCCGTGCGCCGCGGTCACGCGTGATGGCGGTGTTCAGTATCCATTCGAGCTCGCCCTTGTCCTCGGTAGGAAAACGCTTGGAGATGTCGGCAACAAAACGGGCGCGCAGCGTGGGGCAGTTGTCGGCGATGAGTATGTCGTCGACGTAAACTAGCACCCATAAGACAAGATTGCCAGATCGGTAGATATACAGGCACACGTCGATGGTCGAGCGAACGAATCCCCAGGAAACGAGGAAGGAGGTGAGGAGTAGTCCCCACTCTCGCCCTGCTTGTTTGAGTCCATACAGGCTGCGCCGCAGTTTGCAAACGAGGGAGTTGTTGCCACTGTTGACTCCTAGGAGGGCAACGGCTTTCGGCGGCCAGTGTCGATCGGTTCGCAAACATCGGACAAAGGAGTTAGCTCGGCATAGCGCTCCCTCACGACTGGACTGACGAAGTCGAGAAGACTCCGAAGGGAGTCGCGATAGATGCTGACGCAAACGATTGCATACGGGCACCCAAAGGAGATGGTGGTGGTAATAGGTGTCCAAATGAAGCAAACAGTTTTGACAGTAGTGCTGGTGATGACCTCAAAGGCGACGAGGCATGCATACCTGGCGAAGTATAGGAGGGATCGCACGAAATCGTAGATTGCAAAGCCCCAAGCAACGAGCAGGATGATGCCGCATATCGCAAGTGCAGCTGGCGCAAGGCAAAAATACCAGTCAAAGACCCACTTGATTTGAATACCCAGGTTGATGATCAGTAGCTTGGTAGATCTATTTGCACCATAGTGTCGCAATCCGTACCACGCTTTGACAATCATAAGGCTGCTCATGGTCTGGTAAGCAAACAGGTCGCCAATTGTCAGTGCACTTGTCAGCAGGGATAGGGTGCCCACAGGACCCAAAAGAAAATAGCTTCCCGACTCAAAAAGGGACGCACGAGGCAAATCTGATGTTGGCCAGTTCCAATAGGAGCGAGGCCTCTTCCGTTGGGGGACCGAGTTCATAGGAAACGAGGGTTTCCCATTGTGTCCCGCTCCAGCGCGAGCGTGACACTGCACTTGGCGCCGAGCGCCCGCGGCACAGACCTTGTGCAGGCCACCCCTCATTGAGTGCACCGGTCCGGACCGATGGCGCTCGGTGTGGAGCAAGCAAGACCCCCCCCCCCCCCCATCGGCGCGCGCTCGCCATTCCAACGGGCGCCAGGAGCACCAAGAGGACTCCTCATGGCTGCACTCAAGTGGGCTTCGACCGGCCTCGGCTGGGGGGGCGGGTTGTCCCGGCTGCGGACGCCTTCTGCAGCCCCCTGGGATGGGGACAGCACCCAAAAACTGCCCCCGGCGGCATACAGCACTGCCAGCCAGCCTCTTCCTCCTCCTCAAGGGCTGTACTATAGGCCATATTGCGCCGCTTCCTACTGGCAGCCGGGCGGGCGCGCGCCGCGGGCGCCTCGGCGCGCGCACGGCTCGCAAAGTTCGAACGAGTACTGCCGCCCGGCCGCCTCAAGGCTGCCGGGCGGCAGTACTCGCCTCGCAAGGCGCGCACCGGCTGCTCTGGCTGCTGCGCCGGCGGCCGCTGCGCTGGCCGCTGCTGCGCCGGCTGGCGGGCGGTACGGCCGCCGGCGGCCGCTGCACCCGCGCCTTCCCTCGCGGGCGCGGTCCAACGAGTACTGCCGCCCGGCCGCCTCAAGGCTGCCGGACGGCAGTACTCGCCTCGCAATGCGCGCACCGGCTGATCTGGCTGCTGCGCCGGCGGCCGCTGCGCTGGCCGCTGCTGCGCCGGCTGGCGGGCGGTACGGCCGCCGGCGGCCGCTGCACCCGCGCCTTCCCTCGCGGGCGCCGTCGCGCCGCGCGCGCCCAACTGTGCTGGCACACGGCACGCGTCGTCACACAGCCGCGGAGAACAGGCGGTGCAGCGCGCGAAGCGCGCGCGATCTCGTACTTTTAAGGCTGGATCCGGCCATTCCAAGGGTATACCTTTGAGAATCCCCAGCGTCCCACCCTCCTAGTCACACTCTCAATTTCTCGACTGGCCAACACGAAGTGCTGCGATCGGGGCTGGCCCATTTCTTTTTTCCTTTCTTTTTTTGGGCCCTGTGGGCACCCTAGCAGGGAGTACGCAAGGAAAAGGAACCCAACGAGAGCAAAGCAAAGAAAAAATGGCCAGATCATTCCCATCCATGTGGACTGTACCCGAGCGCAATTCTTGTTTGAGAACATATAGTTCCAATGCGCAATGGAGCTCGTATTTGACCCAATCGCGCTTGCCGCGTCGCCGGAAGTGATCAAGGCAAAGGGCTTTCGCAGCATCGGTGGTTCCATGGAGTGGCCAGATGATACCACATGTCCCATTGTTGAAGGGCACTACCTCTGTCCCACTGCTCAAGGTCTCATGGTGCAATGCCTCTCCTGCACTCGGCGTGTCCGAGTGGTCCCGGGGAAGGACTTTCTGCCAAGGTGTAGGGTCAAATGTAGCGTTCCACGGTGAAACATTTTGGAGGCAAAGGAAGCCGTTCCCGTCGCATTGACCCAGAAGAATGGGCAGCATTGAGTAATCCAGCAAAGGTGGCGGCGGCATGTGTGTCGCAGGCTTCCTATGGGGCTGGGTTGTCGCAGGAAGAGTCCCGTGCCTCATGAATTGTAGCGCCATCGTATTGGGCCATGAGTGCACCTGTATCGCGGGGCTGCGGAGGGCCAAAAATTCAGATTGGCCGCAGTGGGTGGATAAGGCCTCAGGAGCCGACTGTAGCGCGTGCTCCATCGCCTGGGAGGTAGTGTGAGTGGAGGCACACATGTCCTCAAGGTGTTCTGACCCAAGTTGCCAATTTATCGATAAATCTTTGAGAAATGAATTGTCGATGCAAATGGCGGGCTCGAACGTGCTCGACGAGACCGACTGGACCCATTGTTCAGATCCTTCGGCTCGATTGGGGTTGTGCTCGCACACGCCAGGCGCCCAGGTGGTGGCTGACATACATGGTGCAAGGCTTGTCCATGGTGGAGGTGCCATGGTGGTCGACGCTGTCATGTCGCTGGTGGTGTCGGCCTCGGCGATGCAGTAGTCGAGGCCGTTCTTCCCGGTAGAGAAGTCATACTCGATAGCGGTCACGCCGTAGCTCGCGCATAGGAGCAGGAGGCTAGGGGCAGAGGCCGCATCGCGTTCGCTGAGCTGTAACAAGTTTGATCCAAAACAAGAACACAAGTTTGGCTCTACCAATATAGCGCGCGGATAAAGCGCGCGCGCCGCGGTGGCGGCGAGATATAATATTATCTCAGAGGAATATAGTGTGAATGCCCGGGAACAGAAATGCGTCCGTCCCTGAGCGGGTTGAGGCGGGGGTGGTTTCACTGCGTGGCGCGGCCGCGGGAGGTGGGGGGCTTGCCGGGGCCCGTGGCATAAAACTCTGTCTAAACTGTGCGTTATTCTTCTAAAGGCTGATACACGTATAGCAGGGCCCAGACCAACAAAGGCGCGCGGACAGACCGCGGCGCAGCAGCAGCTCACGAGACGAGGGTCGACGCGGTGGCGGCCTCGTACTTGAAGTTGGGCGCGACAGCCTTGACCTCCTTGTAGTAGCGCGCGAGGCGGTGGATGCGGCTCTCGATCAGAATGAGGCGGAACTTCGCGTCCTTGTCCTGCCGGAATTTGTCGAGGTGCTTACGCACAGACACAGCCTGCGGGCGGCGGGGAGAGGCGGGCGGCGTTAGGGGGGCGGAGAGCGGGCGGCGACAGCGGCGGGCGCGTCCAGCAGCAGGGGGAGGGGCGGCGACAGCGGCAGGGGCGGGGCGGGGCGGGAGGGGGGAGGGGTGGGGGGGGGGGGGGGCAGGTGCGAGGGGGGCGCCGCCTTCTTGATGAGGCAGTACAGGTCCTCCGGGATCTCCGGCGCGAGGCCCTTCTTCTTCAGAATCCGAAGAATCTTGGAGCCCGTCACATGGCACACCTGCAGCGTCGCGGCGGCCGCCTCTCAGCGACACTCAGCCGGCAGCTTCAGCAGCTGCGCCCAGCACCCCCCCCTTCCCCCGCCCATCAGCCGCAGTCGGGCTGACTCCCCGCCGTACCGCCCCCCTCGCTCCGCCGTCCACGGGAGCGTCGACAGGCCGGCGGCCGTGCACGCTGGGCCTGGCCCTCTCCCCCGACCTCCCACGCAGCGCCTCTGCGCCGCTGCAGCGCCCTATGCCCTACTCCCCCCCAGGCGAGCGCGCGCCTGTGCAATCCCGTGCGAGTCCCGCAGGATCACGCCAATCTGCGACGGTGTCAAGCCCTTCTTCGCGAGCTTGCACACGTGCTCGTTCACCTGCAAGCCAGCTGCGGCGGTCAGAGCGCGTGCCCAGCGGCGAGCGGCCAGTGCTGCAGTGCCGCGCCTCAGCCGGGTTCTGCTTGAACCAGGAGGGCGTCGACCGCCGGTACGGCAGCGCCGACTTGGAGATGCCCTTGCCCTTGCTGTGCATGCGACCCATGGCTGCCGAGTCTGCGGGCGGCCCTGCGCAGGGAGGAAAGCGTGAGAGGCTCACCCGCGTGCCGCGCGAAGCGGCGCTTTTGCCGCATAGGATGCGCGCAGGGCTGCGCAAAGCTGCCCGCATTACTTCCGTACAGAGGGGGACGGCGTGCGGCGCAGGCGGCGGTGTGAGGGGGGGTGGGCACGCGGGCTCCCGGCCGCTTGGCCCCAATGGCGCCAGCTGCGCACCTCTCTCCACGCGCTCTTGCTGCACCTTCGGTTTCTTTTTTGGGCTTTCTTCTCAATTTCCGAATATGTGAGCGCTGGTTAGAGCACGTGGTCCGTGGGCGTGGTTTAGAAGAAAGGCAGACCGTGTCTCTTGTCGCCACCCTTCACCCCCAAGGTACGTATGTGCGGACGCACCACCGGCGCACCACCGGCACCGCTGGTGCGTGGTGGCTGGAGCGCGGCGCGAGTGGACTTCGCTCACACGCGTGCGACCTGTGAATCCAAGATCCCCCAAACCATGGATAGTAACGGTAAGTAGGAAGGCGAAGAATCGAAGAACAGCCAGGGCGCACCAAGGCCCGCAGCGCGCGCAGCAAATAGCGCTCGCTGTGAACAGAACGAAACTCCTGGCAGGAGGCTACATCGCGGCGGCGACCTTGCGGGTCAGCTCGGCGAGGCGGCAGGCGTAGCCCCACTCGTTGTCGTACCACGCGAGCACCTTGCACTGCGTGCCTGGTCACAGCACCTCGCGCGTGAAGCGGCGCCGGTCACCACGCCGGAGCCGTCCCCGGAGCCGCGCGCGCCTCCCATCACAATGGTCGACGCCGCGTCGATGATCGTCGAGCGGCCTATCCGCAGCAGCCCGCGCCTGAAGGGACGCCCTTCACGGCCCGCGCCGCCAAGCGTCGAGGCGCCGTCGTTGCAGTAGTCCGCCGCCGTCAGCTTCTTCTCCTCGATGCCGAGGATGCCCGCCAGCTCGCCCTTCTCGGCGGCGGCGAAGAGGCCGTTGACCTCCGCCGCAGTCACCTCGCGCGCCATCTCGAGGGTGATGTCGGTGAGCGACGCGGTGGCCATTGGTACGCGCACGGCGTGCCCGTTGAGCTTGCCCCTGAGCTCCGGGATCACCTCGGTCACCGCCTTGGCCGAGCCGGTCGTCGTCGGGTAAAAGTTGTTGATTGCGCCGCGCGCGCGCCGCGGCTCCTTCTCGGCGCACCACGCCGCGTCGAGCACGCTCTGCGTGTTTGTGAGGCAGTGGATGGTCGTGATCGAGCCGTGCTTGACGCCGACCTTGTCGTGCAGCAGCTTGATGACTGGCGCGATGCAGTTGGTGGTGCACGAGGCGGCAGTCACCACGCTGTGCTCCGCGGGCACGTAGGCCGCCTCGTTGACGCCGAGGACGACGTTTGGCACGCCGGCGTCCTCCGGGGGCGGGCAGTGTGCGGTCGGCTGGTGAGGTGCCGTCAGCCGGAGTAGGCGCAGAGGGCTCCGAGAGCGCGGCCGCCCAGGTGTGCGGAGTGGCAGGCGGGGTTGAGGGTCTGCGCTCGCCTTTACGGGCGCGGAGACGACGACCTTCTTCGCGCCGAGGTCGAGGAAGGGCTGCACCTGGGAGGCGAGCAGGCGCCGAGACGCCTCACGAGGAGAAGCCGAAGGGGCGACCGCCGAGGAGGGTGCTGCCACGGAGCAGGGCTCGCCACTGCAGGTGACGGCACGAGCGGGCGGCTGAGCCGTTGCGATTGAGGGGGACGACGAGTGCCGAGTGTGAGAGGAAAGCGTCCCGGAGGCGGCCGCGCCTTTGCGACGGAGCAAAACTTGCCGGTGCACTCCATCACGACGGTGACACCAAGCTCTGCGATCGGAACGTCGGCCGGGCTCGCGATCTGCAGGAACTTGACCTTGGTGCCATCAAAATCGATTATGTCGCCCTCGGTGCTAATCTTGCCGGAAAGGAAGCGGCCGTGGTGCGTGTCATACTCGGTGATGTAGGCGGACGTCTCGATATCGCCCTGCGGCGGCGCAGCGCGGAAAAGTGAGCAGCGCACGGCGGCAATCAGGCCGACGTCAGTGACTGTCGATGGCGGAGGGTGTGCAGGAGGACGTGGCCACCCGCAGCTCGTTGATCGCCACCACTGTCACCTCGGTCTGGTTGAGGAGTGTGCGGAGGGCCAGCCGGCCGATGCGGCCTCTTTCCGTTGATCAGAACCCGCTCCGGAGCCTTCTTCTTTTTGCTAAACATCGAACACGGAGAGAGAGAGAGAGCAGAGCAGTGCCAGACTGTTCAGGCGCCACGCGTATGCCGACGGAGGTTACGGCGAGCGGCACGGACTAAGAGAAAGCAGCCTTTATTTTTCTTTTCTCTTCTGTTTCACGTATAATTTTATTTCTTGATCGCAGACAATCTCGGAGACGCGACGGTTCCCCTACAGACACATAATGTCAGCCGCCATCCAGTCCGCGATCGGCGCTGCCGTCGGCTTCGCCGCCCTCGAGGCGCTCGATACTGTCGTCAAGCCATTGGGCTACGGCTCCAGCATGTGTCCACCGCTCGGCGCGACCGCCGTACTCCTCTTCTGTCTCGCCAAGGTTAGTCGCGGCTCTGCCCTGCATTCTCTCCATCACGCCCGCAATGCTCCTGCGCGCCGCCCAGTCTCCAGGATGAGCGCTAGCTGCCGTTGCCTGCAGGCGCCCGCCTCCTCGCCGTTTGCCGTGCTTGGAGGCTACATCGTCTCCTCGCTGGTCGCCCTCGCCGTCGTCACGTTCCTGCCGCCCGACTTTTGGTTCCTCGCAAAGGGCCTCGCCGTCTCGGGCGCCATCGGCGGCATGGCGCTAACCGGGACCGTTCATCCTCCCGGTGGTGCTTACGCCTTCCTCTTTGTCGCCCAGAAGCTGCCCGCGCAGGCGATCCCACCAGTGCTGCTCGGCGCGGCGGCGCTGATTGTCGCCCAAAAGGTCGTCCAGGCCGTCGTCGCGGCGACCGTCGGACCCGAGCCCAAGGCCAAGACGAAGTGAGGCCTGATGAGATGTGAGGCTTACTGGCTCACATGCGGCGGATGCCTGTGTCCCTCGAAAGAGCCGCCTCCGGCCCTCCGCACCCTATAGTCCCTAGTGGTGAGGCCCAATCGGCCGTCTCGCACCTACGTTTGGCTCAGTACGTCGTGGCCCACTCTTGCATATCCGTGTTCGTCCAGATAGCAGTTTGCATCCATGCACACACCTGCGACCTGGGTGTCCTGGTCCACACACCCCCACACATATATATGATTCACGTAAAGCCGATGGTAGGACGGCTCATAAATAACCTCCACGTGCACCGACGACCCAGGTTTAAACTGCCTCGAGCTCGACGAGGAAAGCGGATCTCGTTCAAACAGTATTAAACCAAATCCAAAAGTTTTTGGATAAATATTAAATTTCAGATTACCCGGTTTTTGAGATTCGCCTCGCAGTTTACCCGGCCAACGATATTTTCCTGCTTAGCGCGATATCCGTCAAACCAGTTTACCCAGTCTCCCACAATTCATGTTTCAGCTTACCCGGTCGCTAACATTTCTCATGTCAGATTACCCGGTCGGCCAAATTTCTCGTCCAGATCACCCGGCGGCTAACATACTTTTCTCTTCAGCTTACCCGGACACGGACGGCTGCCTAGCTAGGCGCAAAGGCCGGACTCAGGGTGAACCACGGCGTGCGCAGGCCAGCCAATTGCGAGCGTGCACCTCGTCCAGACAGAGAGCGAGCACCTGCGGCACGTGGTCCTAAGGAGAGCTCCCACTCTCGGAATCCCCGGCCTCGTTTGCTTGAATGACGCAGTCGTGAATCCCACTACCGGGTGATCTGGAATAAGAAGTGGCCCCGCGAGCTGGGAATAGGACCGCCGCAAGCGGCGTGGCGTGGGGCGGTTGAGCATCCCTCCGGGGGCCCCTCTGCGCCGGGGAGGCGTTGTTGGAGGCTAGGACGCAAGCGTCCGTCGCCTTTTTCAAACTCGGGTCCCACTCCGCTACGCTCCGACCCCCGAATTTGGAGGGCCATGAAGTTTAAGGTGTTGCTGCGCAAAAGGGGCGGGGCGCGGGCGCGCGCGGCAGACGCCGAGAGTTCTTTTTGGAGATCAGACCTCTTTCGATGGTTCATGCTTTCTATGTCTATCTATCATGCTTCATGACACGACACGCGGTGGTGGGAGCTGATGGAGCTGTCAGCTGATCGATCCAAGCGGGTGTGGGGAGTGGGGGGCATGGCTGGGCATGCAGGTCCGCCAGTCGGCCCGGCCTCTGACGTGGTGCTGCCGCTGCATTCGCTGAAGAAGAAAGGTGCGACTTGATTGGAGGCACTGCCACTGGAGGCGAGGGTCCTAGCGAGACCCGTCTTATTTTTGCGTGCGGTAGTTCAGAGGGTCGACCGCGACATTACACATTACCAAACAACACACGCGACGCACAGGAATTTGTTTTCTGACGATCAAACTCGGCGGGGTGCGGCGGGCTGTCGGCTCATGAGGTGAGCGCCTCGCGAAAGACCACGTTGCATGTGCGGAAGGTGCCGGTATCTTTGTCGATCGGGACGGCGAACCGGAGGTGTTCGGGCAGGCCCACTCGCGACGCGGCCACGTAGAGCTGCCCGTGCGTGAAGCAAGGCTCCGGAAGGTAAATGCCCACGCGCTCGAGCGTCTGGCCCTGCGCCTTGTTGATGGTCATAGCGAAGGCGATGCGCACCTATTTAGGATTGAATAGCGGTGGCAGAGCGGCAGCAATATAATGCCTCGGGTGCGCGGAGCGATGCAATGCCGGGAACTGGCGGCGCGACCAGCTGAAGGGGAAGGTGCCCTCGTCGGGCTCCAGGTCGATGCGCGGGATGAGGACGACGTTGCCCCGGCACTTGCCGGTAGCGATCTCACACTTGAGCAGGGGGCCGTTGATGACCTCGAGCAGGATCAGTCGTGCCGTTGCAGAGACCATCTGGAGGAGAGAGGTTGCGGAGCAGCATGAGAGGCATGTACTTTTTCAGCTTGAGAGAGTGCGACGGGAAGTTGGGCAGCGTGATGGTGTTGAGGAACTCTACATCGACCATGTAGTCGTCGGCCGGAGCGACCACATCCGCGCTGGAGCACTCCGTTGCGTCGCCACTGGTCGTTTTGGTCGACATTCCGGGGTACAACCACTCCGACAGCTTGCCAATGTCCGCGCCCTCCGGCTCGCAGATCTCCGGCCACCGGTCCGTCGGCAGCGTGATCCTGCCTGGGGGGAAGGGAAGGTTGGGCCGGGCCGTGAGGGGCTGATGGCGGGCTGCGCTCGGGCGAGGCGCGCGCGCGCATGGCAGGCCGAGCAGGCTCGGCATATGGTGAACCCCAAGAGGTCGCGATGGCGGTCCCGCTGTTCCCGATCATTTCGTCCGTCCAATCGATGGAAGCGCTGGATCGCCCATGTTATGGCGTTCCAAACTTCAGGTGAGGTTACCGTTCTTCGTCGCATTTTCCGTGGTTTTTGCACGGTATTCGGATTTTCGCTATTTGGTCGTGTGGGTGTGAATCCGGGTGATCTGGAAAACGCCGGGTGATCTGCGAGGCGAAATTTCGCGATCCGGGCAACCTGGAAACGACATTTCGCCGAGTCGGTCCTCGGTCCCCCCCGGGTGTGCCCTGTGTTGTGCGAGAGAGAGTTTTGTTGTAAAGTTCCTTTTCACATTTCAGTACCACTCTCTCGCTATACGCTGAGCAGAGGATGTACGGTCTACGGAATCTGCCCTCTCGTCTTCAACTGAGTTGGAAAGCGGCCTTGGGCAAGAAGGCGATGACATCACACACATCAGGCCCACACGGCTGGCCAAGATACCAATGCGACCTCGAGGATTCATAGAGCACCGGCCTGCTTAGGCAATGTCGCCGGGCCGGTGACGGCGAGGCGGAGCCGCTGCAGGCTCCGCACATCGCACGACTCGAACCAGTGGCAAGTGCGTTCGCGGCGCGATAGGGTGAGGAAGTTGCAGCGGCCGCACGCGGCGCACATTCGTAGACACTCGCCCGCATAGGAGGTAAGGTTGTTCTCGGCCTGCGTTGTCGTGACTGCAAATTTGCCACTGCGTCCCTCGCAGCGGCCCGTGGTCCTAGCCGAAGTTTCCCGCCTTTGCCGGCCAAGCCCGTCAGCAAAGTAGTGCGCGCACACGCCCTCGCTCGCGTTGCGCAGCCACGCCGTCACGGTCGACACCGCCCTCGGCCTGCGGCTGCTGCGCTGCGCGATGATATCCGACGCGACACCAAAATTTCGCTTGTTACGCAAGTGTGCGGCAGCATTCGCGTAGCGGCTGGCGAGCTTGTCGAGCCCGGGCACTGGCTCGCCGTAGTTGTTGCGGTAGTCTTCGTCGTGGATGATGAGCCGCGGCGGCCTAATCTTTGCACGAGGCGCTCAGGAAGCGCCGCTCATACCTCTTGAATAGCGGTGGAGGAGCCGCGGCGGCCTCGCACAGCCCCGTGCCAGCAGTCCGTCGAGCTGGTTACGAAAGAGCACTCCTACGCGGGTCGGGAGAGGGTGCGAAGGGATCTGATTCTCCAGCTATCTAAACGCTCACCGGCGAGCCGCTTCCCGGGCGCGACCGCGTTAAGGTGCCACTCGATGAGGATGTAGTCGCACAGGCACAGCGCACCGCTCGTGAGGAGCCGCGGCAGCAAGTCGTACTCGGCGCTCTCCACGTCGAGCTTGAGAAAGACCGAGCCTCGGGCGGCGGCGGCACCGTGCACCGCGCTCAGCATCATGTGGGCGAGGTCAATGGTTGGCACGGAGACGGAGCGGACTTCGGGATGGAGCTCAGGCTCGTTGAAGGTAAGTGCCATCTGCTCCGACAGCGACGACGCCTCGCTGAAGCTAGAGAGGAAGAAGGAGAGCGTTGTCTCATTTGTCCATGCCGCCGCCGGAAAGAAAGTGCCTCGCCAAAGGGAGGCCATTGCACGCAGCCGGGCGGCGAAGACCTGCTGCGGCTCGATGAGGGTGAGGCGCACCCGCGACGCTCCGCCTGGGCACGCCTGTTGCGCCCTTTTCATCACATGATTGCTCCACAACCCATTGTTTGCACCGACCTCGAACAGGAACGAGATCTTGTCTTTGCCGCCCTTGCGCAGGTCGTCGAGGAAGAGATCGACGGCCTTTCCGCCGGCATTGCCCGCCGCTCGGACAGCGTCGGGCAGGAAGACGCACAGCACAAACGCGAATAGCGCAGGTGGGCGCTGCATACTGTGCTCGCGCCGAACGATAATGCAACCCAAGCCGCAAACGCGCCCGTCGTCACACCCCGTCGCGACCAAGAAAGAATTCATTTCGGAAACGATTTTTTACCAAGAAACTTCGGAGTCGCTCCTCTGCAAACCTATACCAGTCCCTCTCTCTCTCTCTCTCTCTCTCTCTCTCTCTCTCTCTCTCTCTCTCTCTCTCTCTCTCTCTCTCTCTCTCTCTCTCTCTCTCTCTCTCTCTCTCTCTCTCTCTCTCTCGCTTCTCTCTCGCTTCTCTCTCTCTCGGTATGTTCAGCAGAGGTACATACACTGAGAAAACGCAGCAAACCGCACTTCGAGCAAAAAAAGTTCTGCGTGCATGCTCGTGCGTCCCCCGTTTTACCGTCTGAAGATGATCGTCGCCCTGTCCATCCTCGCTCTCACCGACCGCCCCAAGGCTCGTAGAGCCCCAAGCACGGAGCCGAGCATACACACAATGTACACTGCCGGCCAGGACGAGCCGACTCTTGACGTGTACGAGCGGTGGCTCAACATGGGGGCGCACCCAATGATGAAGGGCGGCTCCGCGACTCGGCAGATTGGCAACTGGGCGGCGCGCAAGCCGACGTGCAGCGTCTGCGACGCTGGGGGGGCATGTGGCTACTGTCTCAAGCGCGTTACCTGCGGCGTCTTCGACGAGCTCTTCAGATTCTGGGAGGATCCGCCTTGCCATTCCAATCTGCCTCCCGGAGAGTGGTGTAGAGGAGATGGCCGGTGCGGCACCGACGCACCGGCCACGTTCTCGACGGGGATATGCGCCAGCGGGGCCATGTATTCGAGGCAGGACTGCACATACGTACACCCCTGGCCCCCGCCAATGCCAGCCTCTGAGCTGGTGCCGCCGAACATAGCCGCAGCCGCCCTCGTGACCAAGCCGCCGCCGCCGACGCTTCCTCCGACGCCACCCGTGGCACCAGACACGTTACCCGTGTGGCCTGGCTTCAGCATATATGAGGTCATACTGCTACCCTTCCTCGTGCGATGGCCAGCTCGGCCGTGGCTGCGCGTGGTCATAGATGCAAGACCATTGCCTCGCCGAGAGCTCAGTTGCATGCTCTATCCCCTTCAGCCCTCCAATTCCCATCTCTCCTTCGCGCCCAACGCCCCCCGTTTCCGCGACCAGGATCCTGATTGCGCTCATCATCCTGTGCGTGCCTCTGCTTGCGATGCTCTTCTGCTACCACTTCTCCCTAACAGGGTCGCATCGCGGGAGCTCACTGCTGGTAGAGGACCAGGGCCCGCCACGCTACCCACCCCGAGCATACTCGGGTCACATCTAGAATCAAATTTTCTGTGGCCTTTCGTCGTGACTCGTGCCCGCACGATGAGCCATGTCGGAGATGCGCGGCTCGGGCTGCGCCCATGAGCAACGCATGTAATGTATGTACCAATACTCAGCGCGAACCAGTACGTGAGCGCACAAAGGCCACACAACCCGCAACCCCCGAGAGATACGTTAGAGCTCTACACGGCGCGCTATCTCGTCCGGTCTGCGCAGACAGCACGCACTCAATCATGGTTCATGCGCGCGCTGTGGAGATAAGTCCGATCCGCCCTCGTCAGAATCTAGATTCGCCGGCTCACGACGCCGCCATCACCAGGCGGGTGTACAAGCCACCAAGAGAGAGAAGCTCCGCGTGCGTTCCCTTCTCGACGACGCGGCCCTCGCTCAGCACGGCGATGCTGTCGGCGTTGCGGATGGTCGACAGCCGGTGCGCGATGACGAGCGTCGTACGACGCGTCTCCGCCACCACCGCATCCAGCGCCGCCTGCACGACCCGCTCGCTCTCGTTGTCGAGCGCCGACGTCGCCTCGTCAAGCAGCAGCACCGCCGGCTTGCGAACGATGGCGCGTGCGATCGCCACGCGCTGCTTCTGGCCGCCCGAAAGACGACTGCCCTTGAGACCAACTTGCGTGGCGTACCCGTCGGCGAGGCTGCTCGTGATGAAGCCGTGCGCGTTGGCCAAGCGCGCCGCGCCCTCGACGTCGGCGTCGCTCGCGCCCGCCTTGCCGTACCGGATGTTGTCCGCCACCGAGCCTTGGAAGAGGACCGGCTCCTGCCCCACCAGCCCGAGCTGCGCGCGCAGCCAGCGCACGTTCAGGTCGCGCAGGTCGACGCCGTCGAGCAGGATCGCACCGCCCTGCGGGTCGTAGAAGCGCTCGAGCAGCGCGACGAGAGTCGACTTGCCGCTGCCCGAGGCGCCGCACAGCGCCACCGTCTGCCCCGCGGACACCGAGAGCGAGTAGCCGTTGCAGACGAGGTGGTCGGGCGCGGTGGGGTACGCGAAGACCACGTCGCGCACCTCGATCTCCCCCGCCACCGCCTCGGGCGTCTGCCCAGCCTCGGAGAAGGAGTCGATGGCTGGCGTTTGGTCGAATAGCGCGAAGAGGCGGGAGGCGGCGCCGATTGCGCTCTTGAGGCTGGCGAGCTGGCCCAGCTTGAGGAGCGGCACCATCGCCCCCGTGAGGACGAGCAGCGGCGCAATGGCCTGGGGCGGGGAGTGGGCAGAGAGAGGGGTGAGGGCGCGGCAGCCAGCCACGACACTCCTTTCACGGACTCTCCGCCGCCGCCTGCACGAGAGTGATGATGCCCTGGTCGGCGAGCCAGACGGCGTAGTAGAATGAGACGCCCACGAGGCACATGAGCACGCCCATAGTCAGCCCGTTGAAGAAGCCGCCTACGGGAGCGGTGTGTGTGGCTTTGTCGTGGACACGTCCCTGGACGTGCCGTCGCCGTCGGCCGTACGATGAGGACCGACGATCGCATCGCGCTTGCCGTACCGTGCCGCGTCGGCGCTGGAGGCGCAGTAGCTCTCGTAAAAGTGCTGCTCCAGGTTGAAGGAGGCGACAGTGCGGATGCCAAGCACCGCCTCGCCGATCGCCTTGCTCGCGCTCGCCTTTGCGACGAAGCGGCGCGAGGTGACCTTCTTGCCCTGCGCCGCCTTCTTCTCGTCCGCCTGCTCACGGCACGAGCTGTGAAGAGACGCTGTGCGCCGGTGGCGGGGAGCGCCGCCTCCGTCGCGTCTGCCGACGTGCCGCTCATGAAGAGGGTCTGCATCCCCATGATGAGGCCGAGGACGGGCAGGATGGCGCACCAGACGAGGAAGAGCTGCCTGCTCACGGGCAAGCGGGCGGTGAAGCAAGCCTCCCTCCTCCACGGCGCCGGCCGAGCTCGAGGGCTGCGCGCGCCACGAGCACTTCCACAGGATGATGACGAGCACGGAGCCGAGCCCGCCCACCAGCTGCGCGACCAGGTCGAGCTGCTCCGTCGTGATGGTCTTGACCTTGTCCACCTTGTCCGCCAGGAAGGCGGTCAGCTCCGACGCAGAGTTGGCCTGCGGACAGCCAAGCGGCGTCAGAGCAAGGCGCCGCGCAAGGCCAGGGCCGTCGGCTCCGAGGCCCGACTCGCCTCCACGTCGAAGAAGCCGATGTCTTGGCGGAGCAGCGCGCCTGAGGAGCAGTGCGTCCTCTCTCAGCCACGAGGCAGTCGTGAATCAGTCTTCGTGGACCCGGCGTCGCGGCGGAGCAGCGCGCCGAAGCCCCGCTGGCGCAGCTTGGCGGTGAGCGAGGCGCCCGCCTCGCCGTTGAAGTAGCCCGAGCAGAAGAAGGCGAACGTGGTTGCGCCGGCGATGATGGCGAGGCGGGTGGAGAGCTCGACCGCGTCGGATCGCATCCGGCTCGGGTCGCCGTCGTACAGCACGACCATCACCTGCGCGTGACACGAGCGCTGCGTCAGCTCTGCGGCAGGGCGGCGGGCCGCCAGTCCCACAGCACCGCCCTCGCCTCGGTCACGAAGTAGAAGCCGATGGAGGGGCCGACGCACGCCGCGCCAGAGAAGAGGACCATCAGCAGCAGGTGCACCGCGCGATCCGACTGCAGCCGGACGGCAGCCGCGTGAGCGGGAGTACGAGGACTATATGACTATCTAGTTGCGAATGAGGCGGGCCTGCAGCCCGAGCAGCCTCCGGAGCGGGCCCAACGCCTCGCGCGGCAGCGGCGCCACCCGCGCCAGCCCGAGCCCGTCCTCTCCCTCCTTTGTGGAGGCCGGGGGGGGCTCCAGCGCCGCCGCCACGGGCCCGCTCGCCGAGAGCGAGTCGCCGCCCTCGTCGCCCGCCGCGCTCGCGATCGTGGCGCGGTCCTCCTTGAGCAGCTCCTCCTGCTCCTTTGCGAGCTTGGCGAAGACGCCGCCCGGCCGCGAGACGAGCTCCTCGAAGGAGCCCTTCTCAACGACGCGGCCCTCGCTCAGCACGGCGATGCTGTCGGCGTTGCGGATGGTCGACAGTCGGTGCGCGATGACGAGCGTCGTACGACGCGTCTCCGCCACCACCGCATCCAGCGCCGCCTGCACGACCCGCTCGCTCTCGTTGTCGAGCGCCGACGTCGCCTCGTCAAGCAGCAGCACCGCCGGCTTGCGAACGATGGCGCGTGCGATCGCCACGCGCTGCTTCTGGCCGCCCGAAAGCTTCGAGCCGCCCTGGCCAACTTGCGTGGCGTACCCGTCGGCGAGGCTGCTCGTGATGAAGCCGTGCGCGTTGGCCAAGCGCGCCGCGCCCTCGACGTCGGCGTCGCTCGCGCCCGCCTTGCCGTACCGGATGTTGTCCGCCACCGAGCCTTGGAAGAGGACCGGCTCCTGCCCCACCAGCCCGAGCTGCGCGCGCAGCCAGCGCACGTTCAGGTCGCGCAGGTCGACGCCGTCGAGCAGGATCGCGCCGCCCTGCGGGTCGTAGAAGCGCTCGAGCAGCGCGACGAGAGTCGACTTGCCGCTGCCCGAGGCGCCGCACAGCGCCACCGTCTGCCCCGCGGACACCGAGAGCGAGTAGCCGTTGCAGACGAGGTGGTCGGGCGCGGTGGGGTACGCGAAGACCACGTCGCGCACCTCGATCTCCCCCGCCACCGCCTCGGGCGTCTGCCCAGCCTCGGAGAAGGAGTCGATGGCTGGCACGCGGCTGATGATGGAGAGCACGTCCGCCGCCGCCTTTGTGCCCAGCGAGGCTCGGTGAGCCCGCACCCCACGCTCGCCGCCCCTCGCACACAGGGGTCGCACCCTCGCTCGCCGCTGATCTCGGGGCACCTCGCGCCACCTCGGGGCATCTCGCGCCATCTCAGGAGGATCTGGCGCCTGCTTTGCGACGACGAGCAGCTGCGCCGGCGGGCCGGAGAGGGAGAAGCCCTCGCCCGCCATCATCATCGCGAGGATGGCGATGAGGACCAGCTTGGCCGCCATCCGGCACGGGTGGTACCCGTCATTGTCGTACCCCGGCGGCGAGGAAGCGACGACGTACGCGTTGAAGGCGCCGACGCTCTCGAAGCCCATCCCCTCCAGGAGGGTGAGGTTCGGCCCGCCGAGCTGTGCGCTCGACTCGCCGCCTCCAAGGGGTGTGGCGTCGAGCGGCGTCGAGGCGGCGGTGCCGAAGAGCTCCGCCCAGTTGCAGTTCATCTCGAACGGGACGAGCGGCGCGCACGACGTGTTGGGCGTCGCGCCCGCCGGCGTGTTGTCTCCGTCGTACGCGCAGTAGCGGATCCCGTCGACGACGTACTCGAATGCGGACTCCTCCATCTCGTTTGAGAGGGTGAAGGAGCCGTACAGGATGCCTGCCGCTTGGCGGGGGGCGGTGAGGAGGCACCGCAGGAGGCACCGCCTTCCGGAGGGGCGGCAGGGGGCGGGCGGGGAGCGTGCCGGCGACCATCATCACCAGGTACGCAGAGAGGGCGAGCCCGGTCGTTGTGCCGACGACGGTCGCGTTCCGCACCTCCACCCACCGCACCGCGCGCAGGGCCTCCTCGTACTTGGCGGCGAAGTGCCCCTCCAGCTCCAGCGCCACGACCGTCCGCATCGCAAACAGCGCCTCGGTCGCGTACCCGCCTAGCCGTCCGTCACTCTGCTCTCAGTGGCTGCTCAGCTCGCAAACGGCGCCCCGGCGGCGACCCCGCCAGCGGTGGCGTACGCCCGGCTGACCATCTTTGAGCCTACGAGGAGGGCGCGGCGAGGGCTGAGGGACGGCTCCTCCCGGCTCGCCCGAGCAGCCGGCCCGCTGCGAGCCGTTCTGCAGCACGTACATGAGCGCCGAGGCGGGGAGGATGAGGAGGGGGACCGTGGCGAGGGTGATGCCCGCGACCTGCTCGCAGATCGAGGTGTGAGGAGGAGGAGGGGGAGGATGGTGGCGAGGGGTGTGGTTGGCGACCGCAGGCTGGTAGATCAGCCCGACGACCAGGCCGCCCACGCCGTAGCCGACGCCCTCGAAGAGGACGAAGACCGAGCCGCCAAGCCCCTTCTCCACCTGGCGATCAATGGTTGACTGGTGTGACTGGTGGCGATGATGACTGGGCTTGGCTGTGACTCCTTCTCCACCTTGGCCATCCCGTCTGCGATGCGGGCGGAGAGCTCCTCCGGCCGCGCGCTCTCGTACCTAACCTCGCGGCGGGAGGGCGTGGCGAGAGCGAGGGCCGGGGCATCCTCGCGCCGCGCGCCCCCGCACCACGCCACGTCCTGCCGCAGCACCGCCTTGAGGAAGGCGCGCTTGTAGCGCGCAACCTGCGCCTGGCAGGTGTACTCGCCGATGGTGTAGGAGAGGGCGCGACCCACGAGGAGAGCCGCGCCTGGGGCAGGGGAGAGGGCGGGTGGGGGAGGGCAGCGGCGGGAGAGCACAGAGAGAGTGGGAGAGCAGTTGTATATGCGCCAAACTTGTTTACGGTGATTACTGCACATGCGCGCCGATGTAGATGAAGGTGAGCAGCATTTTTGTGACCGAGGAGCCGGTGTTCCTCGCCCCGGGCAGCGTCGCGCTGAGACCAAGCTGGTCGAAGGCATCGCCAAACGCAAGCAGCATCAGCGGCATCGCGGCGCCTACGTGCACGCTTCGGGCGGTCTCCCTTTGTGTGTCTGCATCATGGGACGTCGCTTTTGCAGGCGCCAGTCCCGAGAGCCGCGAGGGCTGCAATCACGAGGAGGCACTTCTCGACGGGCGTAGCGAATTGCAAGAGCTCGGCCAGCGATGCGGAAGGCACCGGAGGCGGTTTGGCCTTCTTCTTCTTGGGCGCTTCGGACGAAACCGACGGATCACGTGCAACCGCAGAGCCCCGAAAGTTCTCGCTGCCGCCCACTGAGGGCACGGTCTGCCCGATCGATGGGGCAATCTGGCTGGCCCCGGAGTGAGGGAGCGACGGCATCGGAGAGGCGAAAGGCAGCGGCAGCGGGTTGCCAAGGCAGCTATGGAGCCAACCGACCGTAAAGTCCTGGGCGAGAAAAGAATAAGGAAGGGAGCGCCGCAAGCCGCGTGCTTCTTCAAACTCGGGGCCCACTCCGGACCGCTGCGCTCCGACCCGAATTTGGAGGGCCATGAAGTTTAAGGTGTTGCTGCGCAAAAGGGGCGGGGCGCGGGCGCGCGCGGGAGACCGAGAGTTCTTTTTGGAGATCAGACCTTTCGGTGATTCATGCTTTCTATGTCTATCTATCATGCTTCATGACACGACACGCGGTGCCGGTGGTGGGAGCTGGTGGAGCTGTCAGCTGATCGATCCAAGCGGGTGGGGAGTGGGGGCATGGCTGGGCATGCAGGTCCGCCAGTCGGCCCGGCCTCTGACGTGGTGCTGCCGCTGCATTCGCTGAAGAAGAGAGGTGCGACGGCTGGATTTGGAGGCACTGGAGGCGAGGGTGGGGAAGGGAAGGTTGGGCCGGGCCGTGAGGGGCTGATGGCGCTGGCCAGCGCGGGGTGTGGGATGTCGTCGTCGTCGTATACTGCTGGCCCTCGCCCTCAGTTGCCAGGGCTGTGGGCTGCAGAATTGGCGTCTGTGGCGTCTACGCAGGCTCTGCAGCGTGATGGCTGGCGGGACTGCGAGGCCGGCGGCAGCGGAAGGAGAGGCTGGGCACGAGCCAGGAACAGGCTGGCCAGGTCCGCAGGTGGCTGCGCTCGGGCGAGGCGCGCGCGCACATGGCAGGCCGAGCAGGCTCTCGGCATATATGGTGAACCCCGATGTCGCGATGGCGGTCCCGCTTTTCCGCGATCATTTCGTCCGTCCAATCGAAGGAAGCGCCGGATCGCCCATGTTCAGCGTTTGCCAAACTGGAACCGACGTTCTTCGTCCCACGTTCCGTGTTTTATTTGCACGGTATTCGGATTTTCGCTATTTGGTCGTGTGACGTGTGGCTGTGGGTGTGTATTCCGGGATTAGTCAATGGTACCGCGTCGGCGACGCGGGCGCCTTGCGGGCAGAGCCCTTAGCCACCCTTTGTCTTGCGCGGTCAAAACTCCCGCCCCAGCGCCCCACAGCGTGTCCCCATCGAATCCACAGGCGGTGTCTTTGGATTCGAGGCATCGATGGCGGCGCTTGGCGCCCTCCTTCAATCAAGGCGGAGTGCCCGAGCCCCGAGGCCAAGGCGGAGTAAAACTGCCCTCCGGGCGCTTGGCGCCCTCCTTCAAGGCGGAGCGCCCGAGGCCAAGGCGGAGTAAAACTGACCTCCGGTTGCCAGAAAAAAAAGCGGCCGAAGGTACAAAATCTCTCCGAAGGTGGGCAACAGCTTGCACCATAATTTATCGTTCAACGTCGAAATTTATTTCTTTAGTGTAACTCACTCCTAAGATTAATATCGCGTTACTCTTTGGCCGGGGGAGACCGCTCTGCGTACCTACCACAAAAAGGGACCGATATGGGTTTTGGGACGGCCGTACATTGCGGCCCCGGGGCCTGCTCGGCCCTGCCATGCCCGCGCGCTCGCCTCGCCCGAGCGCAGCCACCTGCGGACCTGGCCAGCCTGTTCCTGGCTCGTGCCCAGCCTCTCCTTCCGCTGCCGCCGGCCTCGCAGTCCCGCCTGCCATGCACGCTGCAGAGCCTGTAGACGCCTCTGACGCCAATTCTGCAGCCCACAGCCCTGGCAACTGAGGGCGAGGGCCAGCAGTATACGACGACGACAACATCTCACACCCCTCGCTGGCCAGCGCCATCAGCCCCTCACGGCCCGGCCCAACCTCCCTTTGCTAGCGCCATCGCCTCCAGCGCCTCCAATCAAGTCGCACCACTCTTCTCTTCTTCAGCCAATGCAGCGGCAGCACCTCGTCAGAGGCCGAGCCACTGGCGGACCTGCAGCCAGCCATGCCCCCCCCCCTCCCCACCCGCTTGGATAGACCAGGCTCCACCAGCTCCACCACCGCGTCTCGAACCTGGAGAGGGCATGTGGGCTGGACGGTACACCATTGTTTATCATCCCACGGCGACCTCCGTCTTCCAGGAACCGATCTTGCGACCGAGCTAGACGGCTTGAGCTTCTTCTACCCAACCACCAAAGCCCGTCTCTTCCGCCTCACCCACTCCCCTTCCGACCCCACTCTCTTCTCTCTGGATGTTCCTCTGCCCTTCGAGCCTCCCACACACACACCCTTCCTCTGTCGGGCCTGCACCAGCAAAGTCGCCGTGTATCGCCCCCATGTACCATTTGCAGCTGTGTCATGAAGCATGAAAGATAGACCATAGAAAGCATGAACCTCGAATGGTCTGGTCTCCAAAAAGAAACGTTGGATGATGCGGCGCTTTTTTATATGTGTCGGTTGTGTTTCTTTCTTGTCTGAAATCTGCGAGCTCAACTCCCCAGCTTGGCCGAGTGTAGCACGTCATACAAAAAAAGTCGCACACGTGTGATCGGGTGGGTGGTGGTCGCCCCCTACCCCCCTACCCCTCATTTGGGCGTGTAACGGACGTCTCAGTGGGCAGTCATCGCGTAACCCTACCCTACCCCCCGAAAAAGTTGGAACCCAGCACCGCTTACGTGTATGGCGGCGTTCGGCGCCCTGCTCCTCTCCGGGAGCCTGGGAATATACCCGGACGGCCACTTCGACAGCGTGACCAAGGTGACAACCGGCAACTTCGAGGGCCTCGTCAAGGAGACGGTCGATGCGGGCAAGACGTGCGCGCTCCCCGTCCACTGAAGCTGCGCGACACAAGTTTTACTCGCCGAGCTGGCGTCGCCACCCCGCGTTCCTGAGTCGCCCTCGACCGGCGCAGGCTCTTCGTGCGGTGGATCGCCTCCGCCGGGTGAGGCTGATGACGCAAGCAGGCGCCTGCGTGGAATGCTATCACGAAGGCGTTTGAGAACAACTCTGATGTGGCATTTGGCGATGTCAACCTGTGCGCCACGCCGCCGCCGCCCCGCCGCCCTCGCCCTCGCCGCCCTCACCTCACCTCCCTTCCTCTCCGCGCCTGCGCGGCCCACATTACCGCAAGGCCGCCGCGACGGCGGGCTGCACAACACAAACCAGACAACCTCGCTGCCATCAGCAACGACTGCGGCCCAAGCCCGCGCCCTCCGCCCCTCCGCCCCGCAGCTCCGAGGACCAAGTGCGCGGCGAGTACGCCGGCAGCCCTGGCGCGCGACCCTTCCCACACCCTTCCCAGACACAAGACACTCCCTAGACACCTCGCCGGCAGACCCTCCTCACACGAGGCCACGGCCACCTCGAGGCCACGGGGCCGCCTGCGTGGGCTGGGCATGCCCTCTTGCGTGGGCTGGGCATGCCCTCTTCACGCCGTGTGGCGTGGACAGGCGCGGGCGGCTGGCCTACCATCCGCGTGTACAACAAGAAGACCGGCTACGAGGGCGCGTTTGCGGGCGACTGGAAGGCTGCCCTCTCCCTCCCTCCCCCTCTCTCCCTCTCTCCCTCCCCTCCCTC